TCCTCAATTTTGAGATACCCAACTCAAATGAATTACTAGTCGAGCAGAGAATGGTATATATTGGGTGACAAAATGGAATGTTCAGAAACAAAAGCAGCTTCAGGCAGTGCTGGATCTAGGGTTCCAGATGATCTCATAAGGGTTCTACCTTTTTCTTTACACCTTTAATCTTCTTCCCTGTGTGGATTAGTTTATTCTCATACAGACTTTGTTCATGTGATAGGAAAAATGGGAATCTCCACTTTCTATCTTCATAGATAAGAAGTCAAGAGGAATAGACCTGCCTTCTTTCAATACTATGCATCAAACTCAGGTCCTTTACCTGTCCTTGAATTCTTCAGCCTCATCAGGGGAAGGGAGATCTCACTTCAGTCAACCCTGCATCTGAGTTTGAGTTGGTAAGGCATGATTGATAGCTCCAACCCAACTCATAGAGGCTGAAAAGTGTTCTTTTCCAAAAGAATAGTTGATGATGTTACCAAAGGAACAGCAGGAATTTCCTCCCCTATCAACATAGAGGGTATAAAAAATCAGAATTTCTTAACTAGATGGGATCAGGAAGTAGATGTTGAGTGACACAAGATGTCTACTCAAATAAGTATGACAGGAAAGTATAGCAGATGAAAGAGAACATATTTTCTCTTTCTCTCTTCTCTTTCTCTTTCCATGAAATGACCTCCACTCAGTAGTGCAATGCACATGTAAGATTGTATTAAATAAACAAACAAGCAAAACAATAAAAACAATAAAATAATACAAAACAAATAAAACAATAAAAACAAAACATAACTATGGCTGAAGATTTAGATAAAGGATGGAAGAATAGCCAGACTATTTAGCAGCAATAGCAGGAGTAGCCGCAGATAAGGCGGACAACTTCGTAAATTACAAATTGGATTTAAATAGAGAGGGAATTGGAAGTGGAGACATTATTTTCTGTAGAAATATGATGGGCAGAGGAGAACAACAACAACAAAAAAATAAAACTGAAATGATTAAGAAAACACAGTGCTTAAAAGATAAAATTAGGACTGAGCCCTTAACTTGAGTTACACATTTTTTAATTAATCCTTGGGTGAGGACAGATTAAGGACTACACAAAACCAAGCTGGTGAACACACTTTATGATGTATGATCCTTGTGCCTAAAACTAGATTCTCTTCCAGTTAAGTATGGTGCTAGAAAGATGACTGGCCTGGCCCAGTTTTAGATTAACCAGACTTACAGATAAGATTTTTGATTCATAAAATCTCAGAAAAACAAAAAACAAATACTGTGTCACCTGTTATGTTCCAGATCCTATGCTCTGTGGCTAAAGATATAAAGATGAATTAAAATACTATAGGTACTGGATGTCTGTAGATTTTGCAAGCTCAGCATCACTTCCCTGTTTCTCTGGTAACAGATCACTCTTCCCATTTGTTTAAAATGGTGCTAGTGTCTGGCTTCTGCCCTTCCTCAACCAGACTATGATACTGGTCCAAGAATTAACACTGGACTCAGGAAGAACCAATGGAAGCCTTCTTTTATAGTTAATCAAGAGCTTTAAGGTTAGAGTATTTCAATCTTGGGCAATTTTTGTAAAACAAAATTATTTTGAAATCTACTAATTATCCTTTAAGTTCTAGAAATTGCATTTCATGACTAAGAGGGCAGCAAATTATCTGATACCGTTTCTGCTCTGCCCACTTTGTGTTTCAGTCACTGTCAAATAAAGGCAGTGGGGAATGGCAAAACCAGTTCTGATTCATTCAACACATGAGTGCTTCTTAGGTACAAAACACCATTCTAAACATTGTCCAGGAGAAAAACATAAATAATACCAGCCCTTACCCTCAAGGGTCTTACAACGTGGCGAGGGAAATAAGACACGAACACAGATGACTGCAATAAAATGAAGATAGTGATTGCTGCCAGATGTTTAGGGAGAATGAGCAAAGCAGAGAGAGAACACAAAATAAGGCAACATTCAGTAGTCAGCCAAGAAATATTTATTGAGCAATCATAAAATGTGAAATGGGCATGGAAGAGTAAAATATGGACTGGGATAATGGGCAGGAGAAAAATCAGGTGACATGACTTGTTACTCAGCTTTCTAAATATGTTTTTTGTCACCAGGTTCATAATAAATATCCTTAAATTAAAAGCTGAATAAAGATATTGTTCTCTGAAATACAGACTAGGGCAATGATGCTTAAACAGTAGGATAGTAGTACTTGTGTTCCCAAGTATGCCTTCCTATTGCTTTCTTCTCTTGTATGTTCCCAAGTATGCCTTCCTATTGCTTTCTTATCTTGATGGTACCTCAAGATACCCATTTCAGGTCTTTCACCCTTTTTGAGCTTGTGTTTTAGAACAGGTGAATTAGAACAAGATCCTCTTGGCTTCAAACAACAGAAAGAAAATAGTATAAAACTGAAAAAAAAAATCCAGAGACAATCTTGATGGCATGTCTAGATCCAAAACTTCAGATGTTTAAATTAAGTCCCTAACTCTCTTTATCTTTCTCCTTTCCTTTTCCCCCTCTCCTATATCTCTTATTATAGAATTCAAATATTTCTCTGTTTTGTGGAAGCTCCTGGCACAGCTATAGGCTTGTATCCTTACAGCTCCAGGGAAGATTAGGGGTTATGATAGTGTAAGGTTGTGGCAGGGCATCCCATCTAAGATTGACCAATACTCACATTGTACACAGAAGCAGATTAGTATATTAATTACAGCACTGTTTTCTTGAAGAAGACTCTATAATGTGTGTTCTTAGATAATAAGAATAGTATAACATTTTCCAAAGGATATGCATGAAGTGTTTTTGAAGCATTTTTTACCCCACAATTCATTCACAGATTGTCTTTTGGATAATGGTAACCTTGTGTCCCTATCCTAGGTACCATAGCAAATGCCCAGGGATCAGTCCTTGATGGCTCTGGCTGGGCTCTATTCTCATCCTTTACCTCATCACTGTGGCCAGTCATCAGTCCTAATTTATAAGAAGTGGGTTCCATTCTCAAATCATAAGTAATGAAACATGGAGGAAAAGAAACTGGACTGGACTATCCCTAAAAGGAAGAAGAACAGAGGGTGAGCAAGGGGAAAAAAAGAAAAAAGAAAAAAAAGTCCTCTATACCAGAAAATGTTTGTAATGTTCTTTGGAGATCAAAAAAAATTTGTCTCCTACACATAGATGAACAGAGGGTATTGGCCTAAAAAGAGCCCCGTGGCCAAAGGGATCTGGCCTATTTTAACAAGGATTTGAGAGTTAACAGATACCATGGAGAGCACCCAGTTCAATCTCATCATTTTACAAAGGGGGAAACTAAAATCCAGAAGGAAAACAGAAATGCCAAGGACTTACAAGTAGTTTATGGCAGAGACAACCCACTACCTATCTTCTGACTTTGTGTTGTGTGTGTGTGTGTGTGTGTGTTTGCTTGCTTTTTGTACAAGGACATTTTTCTTTGGTTTGTAACAACAACAACAGAAAGTATAGCCTTGTTTCTGGTTTTCTCTTCATTCTCAAATCTGTATAATGTAGTTTTGCTGCATTCCAACAGAAAACCTCAGCAAGAGTTTAGTTAATCATCGTAAGTTCACTCACTCCTTATAGGGACAGAGACATTATCCTTCCTTTATATAAGAACTAGGGCCACCTGTTGCTTTAATAGCTCAAGTTTGGTCTCAGCCTGCAGGAGGGGACACCTTTGAAAATCAGCTTCCTAACTGCACTGCATCCTGATTTAGCTACCAAATCTCCAGCCAGAAAAAGAAAGGCATCTGTATCATTGGGGAGACTTCTACCTGCCTCCTCTACTTCTTCCTCCTACTATCACCTCTTTCCTGCTGTTTCCTGCCCGCAAAAACCTGTCACCAGCCCAGAAGTATCTCTGGAAATGGGTAGGAGGGAGCCTTGCACCTGTCAGTGCCAGAGAATAACGTGCGCTCTGCAGAGTTCTTAGTTGTTACATCTTTAGTGATGAAAGTAAGGAAAGCAGTGAGTCCGAGGTTTCTGCCACAGATTTGCTGGAGACCGCAGTTAGTCCATCCGTCCCAGGCTCCAGTAACCCCTGAAGATCAAGGGTGCACTTACATTCCTAGCGTTTCTTGCCGTGTTTTACTAAGAGCTAGTTCAGTGCCTCGCCCCAAGAAGTCTCAGTGTAAAGGTTAAGTTGTCAATCAGGTTCCCGTCTCTGTTTTTTCTTGAGAAAAACTGGCATAGACTGAGCAGTAGTAGAAAGTGGGATCTCCTTGCTCCCCTTCATCACTGCGTTCTCCACTTAGCGACTTCCTCGCATTCTCCTAGATCTGACAGCTGGGGCTTCCGACCTCAGGGTTGGGAGCAGTCGGTTCCAGGCATCCCCGCCCCCTCTCGGGGTTGATGACACCCGTGCCTAGAAGGTGCGTGTGGGTGCAGGCGGGCGAGCTGGAGGCTTCTACCGGGAGCTAGGAGAAGGAGTTCAGCTCTCGCCTAAGACCTGTAATCCTAGATTCCCTGGGGACCGCGAAACTCCCCAGTCCGAGGCACTCCCTGCTTAGCCGCCCACCCATTCCCCCCTCCTTACCTCAGCACGCAGCCCCTCCCTGCGTGATGATGCAAACCAGTGGGGGAGGGCGGGCACTTGGAAGGGTGGGGAGAGTCGGAGAGCTAGAGAGGGAGGGAGGGAGTGGGAGGAGGAGGAGAGGGAGCCGAACGACCATTTAAAGCGATAGCAATCCTTGCCCTCTCCCCAGTGCTGGGTTGTTGGAGAGCGCGAGCGGCAAGCCGGGGAGCGCGAGCGCGGCGCGCCGGCCGGCGAATCCAGGAGCGCACGGAGCCCCAATCTGGCAGGCGCCGCGGGACCCCGTAGCCTCTCTGGCCGCCCCTTCCCGGGCGCCCCCACCCTCCGTGCCTGCAAGAGCCTCTGGGCTTCCCCGGAGGACCTCACCCCAAGGGGCGCGGACCCCGGCAAGCCCGCCACCATCCCCTCCAGCGCCGCCGCCGCCACCACCGCAGTAGCCGGAGCAGCATGGTCCAGCTGGGGAAGCTGCTCCGCGTCCTGACTTTGATGAAGTTCCCCTGCTGCGTACTGGAGGTGCTCCTGTGCGCGCTGGCGGCGGCGGCGCGCGGCCAGGAGATGTACGCCCCGCACTCTATCCGGATCGAGGGGGACGTCACCCTCGGGGGGCTGTTCCCGGTGCATGCCAAGGGTCCTAGCGGAGTGCCCTGCGGCGACATCAAGAGGGAGAACGGGATCCACAGGCTGGAAGCGATGCTTTACGCCCTGGACCAGATCAACAGCGATCCCAACCTGCTGCCCAACGTGACGCTGGGCGCGCGGATCCTGGACACTTGTTCCAGGGACACTTACGCGCTCGAACAGTCGCTCACTTTCGTCCAGGCGCTCATCCAGAAGGACACCTCCGACGTGCGCTGCACCAACGGCGAGCCTCCGGTTTTCGTCAAGCCGGAGAAAGTAGTTGGAGTGATTGGGGCTTCGGGGAGTTCGGTCTCCATCATGGTAGCCAACATCCTGAGGCTCTTCCAGGTAGGGAGGCGCTCCCTCCGGGGCACAGCGCGCTTTAGCTCCCCGCGCACTTAATTCCAAAAGCTGGCTTGGACTCCAGGGGTGCGGGGTCAGGTCAGCCTTCGCTCATTTCCACCCTGGAGATCCTGCGAATCCCTCCCACCCCACCCGAGGAGGTACCTTCCCTGCTTGGTTCATTTCCCTTCCATCTCTCCCCTGTCCGCGCTCCACTCCATCCGGCTTGACATCCTGGATTTATGGCCCCATTTACAAGAAGCAATCTGCGAAAAACAAGGCGATGATTTAAATGGGTTTGCATTAGAGTGAAATATGGTCCAAAACAGGCTTGTAAAAGTGCCGGGCTCCTGTGAGAGCCGGTTAGGCTCATGGAATATGAAAGATGAGAAGACGCCTCGAAACTGGGCATTTCTCAACTCCCCAGCTTCCTTCCCAGCCCCAAGCCGCCCAGCAAGCCGCAGCTCCCTTGGAAATTTTCGAGAAGAGCTTAGGGGGGGCGCATCTTAAACCGAGGGCTAGGTCTTCACCTACATGTGGATGTTAATTGCCCATGTCTCTCAGGTTGGATCTCCCGACCTGTAGCCTGTCTCTGCGAGGGCATGGGGCGGAAGGCACGGGGACGCTCTCCAAATGGGGAGATGCCACCCGCAGACGCGACCCCCGGGTGATTTGCTCTGGGCAGTTGTTTGCACCGTCTAAATTGCGTTTGCATTCCGGCCACTGGCAGGAGCTGGGCGATCAGCTTTCTACTCCAGCCACTTCAGATCCCAGAGATGAGCTCATGCTAACTGCGAAACAAAATCGCTTTCTCTGCCTCCACCCTCCGCCCATCATTTCCCACGACCTCCCTAACACAGACCCTCAGCCCCTATCCTCGGCTCCGCGGACGATTCCCGGAGCCAGGAGAGAAGGCTCCTGAGGGAGGCACTAGGGTGCGCTGAGTAAAGCCGGCGGTCCTCCTGCTCTGGGCGCCAGAGGGCAATGCCGAAAATGGGAGGAAGGTGGATCCGGGGCAGCTGAGCGGTGGGTTCTACTGCAGTGCTCTCTCTCCGCCTGCTCCTGCATTTTGTGCCCCGTGGCTCCTGTGCTGCATTGGGTATAAATGGATGGATTTCGGATTTTAAGAAATTGAGTTTCAGGATCTGTGTGATTGTGGGTTCCCTTCTTATTTCTCCGGTGTATCTCTTTATCTTTCTTCCTTCTTTGTTTTTCTCCTTTTCGCTCCTTCTCTTTCAATTTCTTTTTTTTTTTCTCTCCCTCTCCCCCCACCCCAAGTGTTTTGTTCATCTCTGTCTTGAGATGATCCTTTCCTAATACACAGCCCTCTCCCTGCCTGATAGTGTCCAAACCCAATTAATCCCTTCTCCAGATGTTCTGGCTAACCCTGGTGTCCTTATGCTCCCTATATCTAAAGAATTGGGTCCCTTCCAAATGCTTTCCCTAGGGTACTGGGTTCCTGGATGGGATTCCTTGAGAAATTCAAGCTGTCACCACATCAGCTCCTAGGAGTATAAAGTTTGTGGGTGCACCAGGAGAGGTGCCTGCCCAAGGCTGCAGCCTGGTGTGGCCCCTCTGATCTTCTGAGCATCCCTAACACTTCTTGTGTGTTCTGTCCTGGGAATCCCTAGGAATCCCTATTTGCAAACTCAGAAATGCTTTGGGGGCACCCTTAATTCTGAGATGGTGCTTTTGGGAAGAGGCGAGGCTATTGTAAGCAAAACCCAGAAGCCTTTCCTTCTTGCCTGAGCTTTTAAAGCTAGACAACTTAAGAGGGCAGTGCAGCAGGATAGAGTGAGGTCAGAGATCACCTGAGAACCACTGGGGTGACTCACAGCCCTGTGAGCCCTGAGCCCTGGGGGTTGAAGGCACATTTGGTGTCTCACATTTTTAAATTATTTTGGTGCCTGCTTCTCTCTTCCCTCAGAGCACAGGCAGTGCTGCAGATGGGCCTGTCTGTCGAAAAAGAGTGAAATGTTAAAGTCAAGAGAGGGATTGCAGACTAGGCTGAGGGACTGTGTTTGCTGAAAAAGATTCCAGGGGGAGCTGATTCTTCCTCTGGTGTGTGAACCTGAGGCTCTTGTGAGGAAAAGAAATGGTTTGCCTTATGCTTAGTTCCCCCATTCGTTCCCTGGGCTGGGAAGGAAAGGAAGCGAACGCCAATGTTAGCAGTGTGGGTTGGGACTAAAACCATTCAGAGAAAACACTGTCATTTTCCTCTAATTTGCAAATTGCAGCTATTCATGTTGGATTGAACAGCTGAGGGGAAAAGAGCCCCCAGTTTTCACCTGCATTTATGGAGAAGAGGCTGGTAGTAGGAGGAATGCTACCAACTTGTAGCTTGTGCTGTGAGCTGGGTATAACTGTTGGTGTGGGCAACATGCTTAACCATTGCCCGTGTTGGAATATATATTTATATATTCCAACAGTCTCTTCCAGTAGCCTTTTTTGCACATGATCATAGGAGCTCCTGGCATGCAAGTCTAATCTCCAGTTTCCCAGCCTCTGTAAGCTTGCAAAATGAATAGCAAGAATAATGGTACACAGACCCATTGTTCAAAGGCACAATCAATTTAGAGAGAGGAAAAGAATGGTAGGTGAATCTTTGCTGGGAATGCAGGGTTCAGCTCAATTAAGATTGTCCTATATTTAAAACAAACAAACAAACAAACAATACAGAAAACCCTCCTCTAAATTATTGAATTCTTAGCTCTCCAGATATTTGAGTTTTCTTTTCCTGAGCCCTGTAGCTTGCTGTGGGGACCATACCAAGCCTATCATTTGAGATAAAAATTTATGGTGAGATAAGCTTCTGGGCTGGGGGAAGGAATACTTAGTGACTTAAATGGGGGAGTGCTACACATTGCGGGTGGGGATTGAGGACAGGAAAGAGTAATGAAATACTAATAAATGTAGCAAATGCTGTTGCTGCCAGCAAAAACTAGAATGTAGTTCTTTCCTGAGAATGAGGACCTGGGCAAGAATGAATCCTCAGATGTAAATAGTGTCTATGACTTTGAATTTTCATTTGTCTACTGGTATAGCAGACTGAAGATATGAGTTAAGCAAGTCCTCTCTCTCTCTCTCTTCTATGCACACTGAATTGATTAGTAAGTGACATGTCAGAGGACAGGAATGATGTTTGCTGGGTCTTTCAAATCTAGGAATTTGAGACTAATGAAATTAGTGTGTGGCCAGGGCTCTGCCAACTAGAATTAAGTCACTGCAACCACACTGCAATGCATTTTCAACCTCAAAGAAGCATCAGGGAGGAATTTCTGGAGATTTGTTTCTGAGCCTGTACAAAATAATACCTTCCTAATGCTAAGAAAGATTAAATGTAAATTAATTTTGACTATGAATAACATATTTAAAAAATAATCAGAGAGTGGGGATGGCTTAAAGTGAAGAGCTTATATAATATGGTGTCCAAAGGATAAATCTCCCGACCACTCTTTTGTGGGCTATAAGTAAGATATATTATAGTGGAAAGTAATAGGCATGTTTTTATTCAAGGCTTCTCTGTTATTGACTTGAGAGCAAACACTCTGAGCGTTTAAATTACTCTCACTACATCCTGACTCTGAATGAACAATATTTCATGGCCAGTGACATGGTCTAAGCTATGGGCTTGGAGTTGGATGGTGTCTATTTCAGTTGCTTTGTCCCTTCAGAAGCAACTAAATGGAAAAAGTGGCCAACTTGACTCTTGTTTGGGGCATATTGCAAACCTAAACCTGTGGAACTTATATCATAAATGAAATACATTTGTAAATACATTTGTAAATTTCTGAATGTTCATTGAAGCTTGAATATAATCTCCAACTTTGGGGATATTATATATATATATATATAATTTTTTTTCTCTAGTTTTCTTCCTCCTTTCTTTTGCTCCCTCTCTTCTCTCTTTCTATCTTATGTAATTGGATAGAACTGGGTACCTAGGTTAGTGTGGTATTACTATAGTGGGGACTTTTTTTTTTTAATAACTCTAACCTAACTCTTCACAAAATTTCATAAATACAGGTGTCAGTGCCATTTGGAATAGGCTCTATAACAATCTCTGCCTCCACATTTACTGTGTTTCAGGAAATTTACCTAACAGATGGTGAGTAGGCAATTTTTAAAGGGACATTTTTGAAAAAAAGCAGAGAGGGAAGGAATAGAGACAGGCACATCCTATATTTGAAGATACCTCTACATGTGTATTTTATGTATATGTGCCCATAACATTAAGATGTCTTTGGGGATTTTTCTCTTCAAAAGTAATTGAAGTAATGGATGCCTTTGCTTCAATTTCATAAACACTGAGAGTATAACAAATCATAAATGCTCTGTTTCCTATGTCTATAGATTGTGTCATGGACTTCAAAGACCATAGCTGGATTACACAAAGTACACTCCAATCTCAGTCCTGCCATGAATTAACTCTCTTACCCTAAATGAGTCATAATCTTTCTAGGCCTCAATTACTTCATGTGATTTTTTTTTCTTTAAAAACAAATGTGGTTTCTAAGTTTTTTAATCTCTTTGGGTCATAGCTTGCTTGAAGAAAACCTACTCTTAATCCAAACCCCATGACATTGAATTTCCAGCTCCCACTTTGAACTTAGAGTGAGTTTGGGAAAACTTTTAAAGAATATTTTCACACGGATATCTTAGTTAATATCAGTCTAGCTGATTTCCCATATTTAAACCTTATCCCTTGTTTCGCCAGTGTGCTCCTCGGTCATGTATATCAAGGCTGGTACTGAGGAAAATGACTTCCTGGGTCAGCTTACTGCATGGTTATAATACACCAGGTAGGGAGCAAGAACTGTGGGCTTTATAGTAGCAGATATAACTTTTATTATCCAGTGTTCTCTTCCCTTTGATCTTGCAAAAACTCCAGAGTTTCTTTTGCAATGATGCCAGATAGTGACTTCTTGCCTCCTTCCTGGCCCCAGGGATGAGTCCCCTGGCAGAACTCAGGCAAAGCAGGTGATGAGTTCAGGTGTAGACTTTTG